ACAATTAAAAATTATTAATACTCCGTGTTTTCTATATGTAAATGCTATTGTCGGACAATAAGTACCTAACGGAATTGACACTGACGCTCATCTGCCTCTCGTGTGTGTGTGCCGGCGCTATCCGGCCTCGTTCCACAGAGCGCACGGACCGGACAATAGTTCAAGGAACTGGACCGTTGTGGAGTTGAATATGTGCCAAATATTGCGTAGTCACGGTTGTGAAGCTTAGCGCACGCGGTGGACGGCTCTCCCCCTTCCCCCCACTTCCCACAGACGTTAATTCTTCGAACTTTATGTCAAATTTAAACTTCGAGGATATTAGCGACCGGCCCGCCCCAGTCGTTGACGAACTCCGACGAATGAACCTTCGAGCTCGACATCGCAAAGGACACTCGACGAGTGAAACTTTGTAAACGAAAAATAACAACACAACTTAATATAATTTGTTGCGTTTCAATTACATTAAGAACGTAAGACTTATGTTTTTAATTTAATCAATAAATTATACTAGTAAATTAATGATAATGACCTTCGAAATGACTGGGATAATACATATATAAAAATAAAGGGAATTGTTTGTTTAAAATTCAGCAAATGTTGACGGCATGCGATTGCGATGACGTTTTGTAAGTCTGTGGTCTGGTGCCAATTGGGCCAATATTAATAATCATTGTTCTTTGTAATTAAGGATTGAAACAATGAGTCATCAATAACTATACAGTATGAAAGCGCGCCTTATACTGGCCTTTTGTTGCATAGTAACTTTTGAAGGATTGTCGACAAACTAACAGACTTTTAGCACAAAAAAAATTCAGTAAAATGGCGCCACACTAATTTCATAAAAAAAAAACGTACTTTGATCCTTTCAGCTCCAGGCCACAGAATTGGTTATGTCAAGAAAATTAAATGAAAAATAATTTTGAAAATATTTGTCAATAGAACCATAAAGTCGTACGTAACACTTCCAAAGAACATTTAAAATAAAACTTACAAATCATAGTTTCGAATTTAAGGACACGTCCTCGCAGTAACCTTAGCGTGCGTCCTTCTGGTTCTGAATGATATCCAAAAGTATGTATGTTGAGGTTGCGTGTTGTTACCCAATTTGATTATAAAATTGATTATATTTTCAAATTTTTCGATGCATGCCAAGACAGTGGGCACCGTTGAAATTTTGTGAAGAGATTTATTGTAAATATTATTTAATTAAAGAGATATAATAAATTTAGTGGGTGAAGGATGAAATTTGAAGTTATCACTATAGCAACACATAAAAAAAGATTTTTTTTGGTATTTTTTGACTGAAGTTAATTCAAAAGTTTCGTGACTTTAATGATATATGTACACAGCATATGTAGATTGTTGACAGTTTTCGATTCGCTATGAAGAGAAGATTATCTTTTTTAGGTTATATTTTTATTAAGCCGCATAAAATTTGACTGATGATAGCGCGAATGATTAATCGAATGTGATTTTAAATTTCATCCTGCTAATGTGTCAAGCGAACAATAAACCATGCTTGTATTAAAAACGGATATATACAGGGTGTCCCAGAAAATTTCTTAGGTAGTACCCTAATTATAAATAAAGAAAAAAGACCAAATTTCATGATTAAACTTTAAGTTCAGATTAACTTTTATAAAAAAAATTACACTAGCTATCCATAGGATTTCGTGCATATTCCTTATTAGAATAGTCCATGTAGAATATTATAACACCAAAAAGCCTATGGATTTCATTTATTTGTAGCTGTTGTATATTCCAGAAACGCACAGCAGTATGGAAAATATGAACTTTTTTAAAATACGTAATTTGGGTACAACCTGAGAATTTTTATTTTTTATTTTGTGTCGCCAATAGCTCTGCTATGAGGTGTTTCAGGATTGTCCATTCTTTCTGGGACACCCTGTACGTATGTGTTCGGACGCGCTAATTACGGAATTACCTGTTTTATTTGACTTATTTTCCTTGAAACTTCCCATTTATTGGGGAAAACGTTTCCGTCACACTTCACACTGCGACCGAAATTAGAGTCTTTGTGCGAGTGAAACCGCGACGCCTTGTTAGTTTAGCTAGAAACGGACCGCAAATTAATAATAATCAATATTGACGGTTCAAGATAAAAAATTAAGCGATATATACAAAGACTAGAATTGTAACTATACAGTTGGCGATAGTCTCAAAAGATTTCATACAAAAACCCCGTAATGTATTTGACCGAGAATTTTTGTACGACGCGCAATGTAACACAACGCGAGAGAGTTGCCAGCTGTATTCTCTTAGCAATGCTCACACAGGCATTCGTTGGTCAGACATTATCGCTTAAATTTTAATATAATCTCAACTTTACCTCTGGAAAACATTAAAAATGTCTCCAAAATGTAAATGTCGTTAATAATAAATATAGAATTCTTGTCGCTATCCCTCCAGTAGTTAAATGCAATGTTGCCGTATCCAAGTTTATGACGTAGGTACGTGTTGCCAACATTAATAAAATAAACCAAAGGTTTGGGCGTTTGAGTGAATGGAATCGAAAGATGACATTGATTACATTTTAATAAAAGTAAATTTAAATGACAATGCTAAATCGCTTGATACATTCCCAATTGTATAGAACGAGGTTAGACTAGTTATATGATAATTATTGTTTTGTTTTTAAGACATAGTTAATGTAAATATCTGATGTGAATGTAAAAGAATAAGAACAATTTTTGTATAGAGAACATGTGTAATAGAATTGTTGTGAATAATAATTATAATGATACATATATGTATATTAAAAAAAAACAAATGAATATTATTAATCAATATTTTATATTTATTTCATTTCTGTGCCAGTAAATGCGATTTTTTTTTGTTTTTTTTTTTTTTTCAGAACATACATATCAGTAGCGTGTTTTAGTTTGCACGTGGTTTTGTTAGAACGGCCTATTTTTTTTTCACTCGTTTCATTACAATGGTTTTCCGATTCTCGCAAAATTAATCAATACAATATTGATCACAAATGATATGCAATGATGAACCAATTTGATTAATAAATACATTTTGTGGTAGGTACGTAGGATTTTTTAAACTTGTTTCACAAGATGGTTGTTTTTGGAACGAAGTTCCCTAACCGGGGAAAAACGTCCGTAACGTAAGATTTTTATTAGTAATGCACACAGTGTACGACTTAACATTGTAATAATGTACAAAAAAATAACATTGTTTATCATTCATTAACCACGATCTCAGAGCGTTCGTTTGCGCAATACACTAACTCTTATGCAAACAACCGTGAATGAAGTGTACCACAATAAGTTCGCACGTTACCGAATGACCGTGGGTTGTTGCTAAACCTCCAGTTTTATTTTCTTTATACCTCGAATAGAACTTAAAATAAATATGGAACTTCGTTCCTATCCGGTGTCCCACGACACCACACATCTTTTTTATTATTGATTATGAACTAGAGACAGAAATTGTACACGAAACTTGATTTATTTTCAAAACCGTATAGTCAATATTCACGCGAGATTCTTTCTTCAAACAAATTCTATCGAATATGTTATTCTTGTTTTCATTTTAAAGTTATTTGTGATTATGATTGAAAAAATTACTTGAATTGGACTCCACATGTTCTGACTTCCTTACACATTCCGTTCCATATATTTTTTTCTAATATAAATTACTAGACAGACTAATGTTATTTTATATATATATTGGCGCGTCAGTTTCGGAACGTGCTCTCGTACTTAATACTAATATTTTCTGAGATTACCTTGTGTATTGGATTTGAAATTATATTTGTAAGTCATCGTGTGAGTAAAACTACTATTGCAGGTGTTCAAATTTAAATGTTCGCTTTAAAACCTGTTTGGTGTTGCCATGATAACGTTCGCTTCGATTTTTTTTTCATGAATCATTCTAAATTTAACCCTTAAATTCGTTTAATTTTGTATCTTATCCTTATTTTCCATACCAAATTCAATTTTTTCGTCAAAACAAATTGTTTTATCAGTAATGAATGATTTTCACAATGGCAACTTAATTGGAGATGGTGGTACAAATCGATTTAAGGGTTAAATTGTAATTTAAGCTTCAACGTGTAAGGCCCCCGTTTCTAAAGAACTGTCCATTGTTGTGTGCATAAATTGCATAATAATAAAATATAAAGATAAATATTGTATAAAACAGAATTTAATATAAAGGTGTCATTTTATTTATGTGTACAGTTAACCATGTAGTTTAGATAAAATAATCTAATGCAATGTTTAAAAAAAACAAAGCAGTGTGGCCAAGAAAAAAAAGGCAAAATGCTGAAATTTATACCAAATTTTTAGGGATTCATCAAGTAAGGCAAAAGTTATTAAATTTTCTTTGTTTATTGAATAGGCAAAAGAGAATGCGGGAAACCTAATATATAGTGGTTACCGTCACTCTCGCGCACGTGTATATCTAGAATGTAACTGAGCCTATGTCTTCCCTAAAAAACTCCCGAGTACTTTATGGTGAATGAAGGCTTGTCAGCGGCACTTAATTGCTGAAATTATTGAGTGTCGGTCAAACAAAGTATTTACGAAATAACTTTTAAACATTGCATTACGATTATCATGAGATCTATTGTACAAATTGTTCAAATTTTCATAAATTTGATTCGTTGAAATCATTAACGTGTTGCAGTCAGTATTCGTACCCCGATGTAAATGTATATTTCGTTCGAGATATTAATATACTTTATGTACGATTTAATTTTAAAAGTAAACCAAACCTAAACTTATATTTGACTTCGTACCTAATTATTAAGTCATTCACTGCTGGATTTTTTTATTTAATTCCCGAAAGAGTAACTGCAGTGGAAAAACAAACGATTTTAGCGAATTTTCAGTTGTTAAAATATCCTCATTCAGAAAGCTGTCTTCCAAAGACAAAGTAAAATTATTATGCAAATACAGCAGGAAGCAAAGGATTTTTTTCAAGAAATTCTAACTTAATGATTTACTTCTCAACTCTGAACTTCAAATTCATCTATATATGTGTTATATTTGAAAGAGTCCTGCACTGCAACACTTGCACGTAAAGGCTAGGTTGTACCAATGCAAAGTCGTTGATACTGTATATTGTGACAAGTGTTTTATTTTTGTATTTTGATAATGTTTGTGTATATAATTTTCTTATTTTATTGATATTAAATTCAATTAATCAAATTTTGTTTTACTGTTATCTCTTTACTGATCCATTTTTACTGGTGGTAGGACCTCTTGTGAGTCCGCGCGGGTGGGTACCACCACCCCGCCTATTTCTGCAGTGAAGCAGTAATGCGTTTCGGCTTGAAGGGTGGGGCAGCCGTTGTAACTATATTTGAGACCTTAGAACTTATCTCAAGGTGGGTGGCGCATTTACGTTGTAGATGTCTCCAGATGGGTTCCACTTACCACTTAATAGTCCAAGATCCCAGGGCCACCATACGTCACGTATGTTCTGACGAACGTAATGTGGCCGATTGCGTAGTGTTAGTATGTACTAAGAACGCATGCCTACGTGCTACCTTGCTTAGACGGCCAATTTTCAGGTATCAGATAAGGGTGGGGCAGCCGTTGTAACTATATTTGAGATCTTAGAACTTATCTCAAGGTGGATGGCGCTTTTTTTTTCCTACCTAAGCTGGTAGCCTTGAGAGGCTATTCCAGCGTAACCCTAACGTTTGTAGGTGAGCTCACGGGGCTCAAACCTGATGACGTTGCTAACACGAACCCTAGCAAGAGTCGTGCTTCGCAGAATCTACCACCGGATCGGAAACGCGACCCACTGAGAAGATCCGGCGAGAAACTCAGTGGGCTGTGTCTGAGAGTTAATTTACTCGTCGAGCCCTTCGTCGCAAGCGACGGGTTTGACGAGAACGGTGACCGGGGATGGCGCATTTACGTCGTAGATGTCTATTGGCTCCAGTAACCACTTAACACCAGGTGGGATGTGAACTCGTCCACCCATCTAAGCAATAAAAAAATATGGGCTACCATATTTAATAATTCTCTTAGTCTCTTATTTCTTTGGGAGGAAAGATGGATGTTTACCCAAAGGCGTTTTCATGACCTTTCGGATATAAGCGAGCTCGGACTTAGTTGAAAGGGTAGAGATTTGCTAAAGACTACCTGAACGTCTCCTGAGGCCTAAAAATTTTATTTGCGAATGAGTCATGCTACAGGGTCAAAATTGCGATCGTTTTCAAGATATAGCAACAACTTAGTCAAAGCTATAGATTATGTATCGCTTCGAGCTCTTCGGCGAGTCGGTGACCTATATTTTGGTCGCTGCTAGCGTTAGCAGAACCGTCCAACATCACCGACAGTAGAATAGGTGAATTCGTCAGGATTTATCTAGGGCGACGGCGGAGGGTGGCAGCTCGGTGAGCCAGTGTGTTTAGAGCTAGTTTTTTAACATTCTCGATAGCGTAAAAGTTAACTCAAACTTCTATGGAGTTGGAACAGCACCCCTAGCGGCAAACGTAGGCAAGCGTTCGAACTTCATACATATTTGAGTTAACTTTTACGCTATCGAGAACGTTAAAAAACTTGGTCTAAGCACACTGGTCAGTGGTGCCTACTATAAGGGCACTATCGTGTTACCTTGCTGTTATGAAGGCGCCTATAGAGACTAGATATGAACGAAGCCTACTGACGCTGCCTTCTCACGGATAAGTTCAAGATGCAGATAATCGATGCTCTACCTTCCTTGTCTAATAAATCGGGATTGTAATGTTCGAAGAAAGGGCTAACTACTATATTACGAGGATTACAGTTTACTCTGCTTGCCAACGGCGAAAGCGGCGCATCTCGGACAGACTACACAAGGAACATACGGTAAGCCTACTTTAATCTTCAGGTAAGATTTTTTGGAACTGAATAAATTCGGTTGTTTCGGAGGCCTTGCCGCTTTACCAGGACGGGTACGCGAATTCACAAATATTAAACAGTTAATAAACTACCGTTATTACACATTTAAACCTGAAGAAACACTAAATAGACAAAATAAAATAATTCACACAACTTCGCTTCTCACGTTCCCGCCAAAAGTCCTGAGCATCGGTAAAAATCGGAAATCTTTCAAGTGTCAAAAAAAAATCAGCTGTCAAATTGGAGTAAATTTGTTAATGGTAACACTAATTCTTTCTATGTCAACGAGTAAAGGGAATGTGAGTTTTGTATTTTGTTGTATACATAATCTCGAAAAATCCATAAAATTGGTTTAAAAATTAACTAAAAACGTACAAGTATGTTAAATTTGTGAGATACTAATAGTAAGAACGTGAATATTTTTCCTTCTCACTGCAAACTTTTACGTAGAAACTGAATTTGAATCTGTGTTATTCTTACATTTCAATTTGTTTTCAGTGCATTACATGTGATTTACTAGTAGATTAAAACTCAAATAGCAATCACGAAGTGTTTAAGCATAAAGGAGTGTTTAAATAGCCTTATTTCCTTGAATACTGGTGGTGAATTTGTAAATACCAATCTTAAGGTTAGTTTTGTTTTTCTCAGATCCCTCCAAGATGGGTAAGATAATGAAGCCGGGTAAAGTAGTGCTGGTCTTAAGTGGCCGGTACGCGGGTCGCAAGGCTATCGTAGTCAAGAATTACGACGAAGGTACCTCCGACAAGCCGTACGGGCATGCTTTCGTCGCTGGTATCGACAGGTACCCCCGGAAAGTGCACAAGAGGATGGGAAAGAATAAAATCCACAAGAGGTCCAAGATAAAGCCTTTCGTGAAGGTAAGATTCCCTTTTAATATTGAATTAAACTAACGGCTGGTTAATTAGTATATAATATAGTATATGACCATATTTAACTATTCTAAATAGATAGAACTGAAGTTACTAAGACCAAAGTTATTGAAATGAAATATTTAGAAATTCAATTAGTGCTACTTTTAGGGTTTAAGTAATCTCGTGTTGATCAGATACAATATCATGACAAAAAACGCCAAATTGAACCAAAATAAAGGAAGGTTTAATTATGTGTACAGGACACTCTAAAACTAAACAAAATATTATTTTAAATTTAAATCAAACCAGGATAAATGCGATAACCATTTTATTAACAATTTTGGGCAACATCATCTTCATGATTGAAAATAATATCCACGAGTATTGCTCAAATGTATTATAAAATTTCAGGTGTAGTTAATAAAACTGACATGGGACTGGTCAGTGTAGCAAATCTTGGTCGAAAATTGTGTCCAGCAATGGATTTCTATTAAAATTTATAGTACTTTTGTGTTATTTTTGTGTGAATAGAAGACATGAATGAAAAATTTACAATAGAGCAGCATTATTGTGATTTTCCAAATTTGTAAAATGCATTCATTAATTTTCAATTAACTATAAATATCTTTATTATGAAATATTTAACTAATAAATGATATATGTGTTTTGATGACTGTACAGATTTGTTTTTTGTAGACTTTAATACTGTGTTTTGTTCAGTTATTAAATTAGCTTTGGCAAATATACCCCAGCCCGAATAGTGTTTAACATATTTACCATAAATACCATAATATTAGTGCAGATACTTAACACAGTACAGTACAAAAGTGTGTGATATGAATTCGATTGCATTTGCATAATGCCATACAGTTTTAAATAGACTGTATCACTGTTAGAAATGAGGAGGATTATAATATTTGTAGAATGGGCACTCAACATACCCTGCCACTAAATGTAAAGTATAATTGAGGATATTTTTCTATTAAAACAGAATATTGCAAGAGGTAGTAAAGAAAAGGATTCATAGTCCCTTATTGAATTAAACAATTGACAATTATTACATACGGTATTAGAGATTTATATTAATATAATAATATAAAAACAAAAGCTTGTTATCTTGATTTTTACGAACAATCTTAAACAGTGCTTGTTAGTGATTCTTATAGTCTTCTGTTCTTCCTTTAATTTTAATCAACTATTATAAGTACTGATGTAATCATGTTTTTAGATTTTTCTGTATTCATGTATTTAAAAAAGTGCAAGTCTTGAGTTTCTAAACAATTCTTCTTCTTCTTAATTCAATAGAAGGACTTGTAATAACTCTTGATTTTTTAAATTTCCATCATTATTGGACTGCATTAAAAGGTACAATCATTGCTGTATAGTTATTTGAAAATATCTGTTTTCTGTTTCAGGTTGTAAACTATAATCACTTGATGCCAACACGTTATACAGTTGACTTCAGCTTTGAAAAATTCAGCGCAAAAGACCTGAAAGACCCTGCAAAACGTAAGAAGCTGCGTTTCAACACGCGAGTACGTTTTGAAGAGAGGTACAAAAGTGGGAAGAACAAGTGGTTCTTCCAGAAGCTTAGGTTCTAAGTGTAATTTTAAAAGAAAATAAACGTTACGTGAGTAATGAATACATTGTTTTATTGCACAAACTGAAACAACAACCTATCCACTATTTACTTATATTTTTTTCATAATAAAAGAGTTTAATTAAAACCTTATTTGTAAGGAATGTATTGAATTTTTTGAGATGTTCTTAGTATCTCTTTATTTTTTGCATTACTGGCGTTTGCTTAAAAAGAGTTTCCCTTTAGTGTCCAAAGTGCTAAGACTTGTCCTTCAAAGGATTGAGAAGAGCCCAGTTGAAAGACAATGTCTTGAGTTTGCTTCCCTGGCATCTCATATCCATTAACTATGAACGAACGACCACTACTCATGTCTCCTAATATTGGTTTTCAAAAACGAAATAATATACAATTCGCCTTCAATACATCAAAGTTGAATGTGTCAATTCTTCTGCTTAGTGCAAAATTTACACTATTAGAATAAATATACATCCTGGCCCTTGTCAGTTTTCGCTACGAATACTTTACTGGTGGTAGGACCTCTTGTGAGTTCGCACGGGTAGGTACCACCGCCCTGCCTATATCTGGCATGAAGCAGTAATGCGTTTCAGTTTGAAGGGTGGGGCAGCCATTGTAACTATACTTGAGACCTTAGAACTTAGATCTCAAGGTGGGTGGCGCATTTTCGTTGTAGATGTCTATGGGCTCCAATAACCACTTAACACCAGATGGGCTGTGAGCTCGTCTACCCATCTAAGCAATAAATAAATAAAAATAATACGCAGAATAAGTGTGTTGATATATGTAGGAATGCTTGATGAATTTTATTATGAAGAGACTGAAACAGAATCATGTAAAAATCTTGGCCCTACCTTAATTCCCAGTAAGACAAAATGTAATAGAGTAATCAGGTATGATTTTCATAGGAGTACACATGCAAAATAATTTACAAGTAATTAATAATAAAACAAATTTGCTTCATAATCAATTTAATTTAATAAATAAATCTTTTAAGCTGTCTATAAAATACAAATATAATCATTGTTAAGTGATATAGGTTTCATCAAACATGTAATAATACATCTCGAATCTGGCACTAGTTCATATAATTAAACAATAAAATATCATTTGACCAGCATTTCTGAGAATTGTTTAAAATGTGCATAAAAGTGCTAAGGGTACAACATACAGTGTGTGTTTATTGAATATTTTGGTATTCTGATATAATAAATACTGGAGATACAAGGGTCTGCACCATCAATGTGCATACTCCTTAAACTGAAGTTATTAACAACATTTATAACCTATTTGAAACTTTTTTAGTAGCTCGCAATATCTTTGTCGTCATTAAGCCATCAGCTGAAATTTGAGCATTTATAAAACCCATTCTTTGCCTAGGGTCGCATTTTTTCGTTCTGAATATAATTTAAGTACAAGAAAACAATTTAAGTAAGAAACATGTGATATGAAAAAAGTACTGCAAGAATTGGATTTTAAGAGGTAAGATGTCTCGTGTTGTTAGGTTATACACACGAAACAAAAACTACGTTTTATCTTTAAATAAATGTATACAATAATAATACAATAGTTAGTTAAACCAGGACTCGAACCAACAAAACGGGACCGACACAGCGATTTCGGAATGTGACTTGCAATTTCTACGTAACTTATTTTTATTTATATTTAATAACACAATTAAACATTCTATTACTAACAAACACTGATTTTGTTGACCAAAATCCAGCTTCTACTAATCAAGATCAAGCACTCACATAGAAGCACAGTTTAAACTTAAAATTCAACACTGATACTGATTTTATTTTTCTTACAAAACATAATTCTGCCTTTTTAAACACAAAAAAATATTCAAAACATTCCATAACTTAGCTTGCCATTGTTTCATATTAATCTAACGTTATCCAGTACAACAAGATTGCAAAATTAATCATTTTACCCTAGGCGTAAATTTAAATGCGGTACATTTTAGTTTTATAAAGGTCGGTCACCGTAAACTCCAAGACGAGGGTCAATGCTGATCAGCTCGTCAGACTCTTCATCTTCAGGACTTGATTTCAGATCGTTGTCGAGTTCAGTAGCACGCCAAGCCGCAATAGCTCCAGCGTTGAAACAAAGCGAGCGTGGTTGCAGGGTTCCAGCGTCCACAGTAATTATCGCGTGAAGTAAGAAGGTATTTACAAAACTCCGTCTCGTTACGAAGCCTGCGCCAATTTCGAGATCCTCTCGTCCAGTTTCCGTATCTCCTTGTTGAGGCTGTTCACGTTCAGCGCGAACACTTCTTGGACGCTCTGCAGGAGCTCCCGGTTCTTGTGGACGCCGCCCGCGATGCTGCTCTGCAGCGACTCGAGCTCAGTCAGCGACTTCCCGAAGTTACTGGCTGTTGGAAATTTATTTATGTGTTTATTGAAGTCAATATATCCTAATATTATTTACTAGCGAACCGCCCTCGCTTCACTTCGGAAACTGTAATTTACTATTGATTTCTCCACTATTTAATGGATGTTATACATATAAACCTTCCTCTTCAATCACTCTATCTATTAAAAAAAACCGCATCAAAATCCGTTGTGTAGTTTTAAAGATTTAAGCATACACAGGGACAGAGAAAGCGACTTTGTTTTATACTACCTATGTAGTGATGTGTTTATTGAAGTCAATATATCTTCTATATATTAATACGTGAAGCAAAAACTTTGTACCCCTTTTTACGAAAATTGCGCAGACGGAGGAGTATGAAATTTTCCACACTTATAGAGAATATAGAGAAGAAGTGCACAATACTATTTTTTTTTTAAATAATGCATAATAGATACATTAAATCAATAAATAAAACATTACACACACCACCATGTATTTGACAAATATACTTTTTGTTTATTGTCAATTGTCAAACTTTTGTTAGTGTTTAAAGTCTGTGGTCAAATTGTGAATAGATAAATATTATTTTTCCCTACCCACAGAGGTATTAAAATTAAATTTAGGGGATGATTGGCCCCTTGGATCGGTCTGTCTATTTGTAAGGGGTTTTAAAATAGTTGTCTGGTGGACATAATATATAAGAATGGAGCATCAGAATTTACGTGAATCTACGTCATTACTTTAGGAGCTTTAAGGCGTCTGCAAAGCAATTCGACCGACGGAAAGTGTCTGGGAGTATTTGCGAATTATTTTTAAGGATATTGCCTAAAATATACGTAAAAATCAGCTTTCAGAAAATACGTGGAGTAGGTCATGATTTTATGTACTTTGATTACCTGATACCTGAAAATTGGCCGTCTAAGCAAGGTAGCAGGCAGGCATGCGTTCTTAGTACATACACTTCGCAATCGGCCACATTTCGTTAGAGCTTAAATTTTCAGATTAAAATGGTAAAACTTTTTTTTATTTTTTATTGCCCTTGTAGGCAGATGAGCATACTGCCCACCTGATGGTGAGTGGTTACCGTCGCCAATGGACCTCAGCAATGCCAGGGGCAGAGCCAAACTGCTGCCTACCGCTTAATACTCTCCACAAGCCTCTTTTGAAGAAGGACATGTCGTAGCGAAAAGTTCAATAGGCCTGTAATATTGGCTCTGTCATACAAAAAATAGTTCCTTAAGGGTGAATATTCTTTATGTTAAAGAATTATTTAATTTAGGGGAATTTTATTCAGTAGACTACATTATATGACATTTGACATGACACTGGTCAGTGGTTAAGCTAATATTATTTTTAATTATTATTAAATTTTGAATATGTACCTTGATGATGCAGAGCCTCTAGCGCTTCCATCCTTTCAATTATTTCCGAATGTGAAATGCCTTCAATTTGCTTCACCAATTTGTACAATTCGTTAACCTGTTTGAAATAAATATAAATGATGAATTTAATAATGAAACATCAATAGGTACAGTTTATTTTTTTTTACCTTCGGCTGTCTTGAGACATTTCTCTGCAATAGATCTAAACATAAGATCACGTCTGTTTTCATTTTATCTTGAAATTTTATTTATTAATAATGTGCGTATTAATATTTGTTAGAAAGATCTTAAGATGGCTCATGGGTGATGGTGGTCACGACCCTCAGACATGAGGAACACGACTCGAGGAGGAGGAATATTTGTTAGAGTTAGCATATTTTAGTTGAATATATTATTTCAAGTTTGATTCGTATTGAATATAAATAACACATTTTGGTTGTCAAGGTTATTAAGCTATTGCATAGATTTTATCGCGGGCTTTGAGCGCGGCGACTGAATCAAGAAATTCCGTAACGAAAATAACCTGACACCCCCACTATTCCTACTATGTAGCTCGCGTTCAACACATTCACACGTTGCGCTTGTGTAGTGTTTGTGAATAAGCGCATGGCGTGATGTCACACTGCATGCGCATCATGAAAAGTCTGCCCATCTCTCTCTCGCGCGGTCTAGCTTATGAGTGTGAAGGGGACAGTTAATGTTTTGATTTTATTAATGTTTAATATAGCGTGGTCTTGTTTTAATTATTGTATTAATATTAAATTATCATTGTCTAATTATAATTGCATAAGTTGATAAAAAATGCTATGCAATAACTTTACCGCGGCATTTCCCGAGTACCACACCTTTTTATTATTATTTATATTTTTATTGTCGTATAGGCATACGAGCATAGTGTGTGTCGCACTTGATGGTGATTGATTACCGTCGCTCATGATGTCAACGATGCTAGGGGCCAAGCCGCTGCCTACCGTTTAATAATCTCCACAAGCCTCGTTTGAAGAAGGACATGTCATAGCGCTCGTGAAACACCGTGGAGGGTAGCTCACTCCCAGACCCGTATGCTTAGTGGGAGTTTCTAAAATCGAATCGAGTGTACGTTCTTCACGGTGAAAAGTGCAGAACTCTAGAGTGCGAGTAGACACAAGTTACTCGATTTGCAGTACGTTTATTCATATCATTTTTCATAAAAAAAAAGATTAGGCTCTATGGTATGATACTTTTGCCTGTCTAGTTGGAAAAATAGATCTACTAAAGAAATGCTCTATCGAAATGTCAAAATCCACTAATTTTATTTGTAACTCGCACTCGCACAAATGTCATTCGTGGTACTCACTTCGGTAAAATTATTACGATTACGAGATCACAACGTTAATATGAACTCGCACTCACAACATAACACCGGGTACGTTTGCCGTTAGGGGCGCTGTTCCAATTGCATACAAATTTGAGCAAACTTACTCGCTATCGAGAACGTTACAAAACTCGCACTAAGCACACCAAAAACTGCATATCAGAAGCAACCAATATGAGGTCTAACCTTCTCGTCGAGTTGCGGGTCGGCGGGCGTGAGTGCGGCCCGGAGCGCGTGCACGTTGGCCAGCAGCGCGCCCACCCGCGCGTCCGCCGCCGCCACCTCGCCCGCCCGCAGCGCGCCCGCCTGCGCCGCCAGACGACACGCCGCGCCCGCCAGCGTCGCCTGCACGCACATGGTACACTTAGGGCGTCGACACATCGTCTTTTCGCATTAAAAGTGTACAATTTCCAAAAATATTCGAAATTGAGTTAATATGCGGAATGATTTGGTACCGCCAGTATTTTTCTTATAAATACTGTTAAAAGAGCGTAGTTTAAGTATTAGTTTTTTTTTTAGTTTACCTATATTTTGAATACTATTAACAAAATAATACATAATTTTATAGAATTTAAAAGACAGATAATTTAACTGGTAAAAAATAAAAAATAAATGTTGCAAAGATAATTAATAATATTATATTAAAAATATCACATGTTAAACCTTTATAACACTCTCCTGTAAAATTATTAAGTTTTGAGATTATACAGTTTTAATCCGAGAAGAGGACATGTCTACGGTGCGGCGCCGGCTACCGTGTAACGGCACGGCAGTAACCATCGTTTCCAATACAGTTTCCGTCTTAACCCATGTTAATCGCGAAAAACGTATTATTCTACTCCTGATGCTTATTAATATGACGAATGAAGAAAAAACAGAATCAAAAAAATATTGGGTGAATCCATACCTTTCTATAATGAACCATGATGGAGGTTATTTTAAGAGGAAATATGAAGCGCTGAAAATATGTGGTATTAACAAATTTTACGAATATTTTGCGAAGCAGGAGCTGTACACCGTACACCGTAGACATGTGTCCACGCCCTTACGCGCCCATTCGCTTAGCGTCGCCATAACGAACCAAGTGAATTAACATGCGAATTGCGAATGCGTAACTATACTGAGACTTTACAACCCATATCGACGCCTGAAAGGCAAACGTGTCTAAGCGACAATGCGTGAACTTTACAGTAGACTGATTTAAAGTTGAAATACCTGAAATCTAAATTAATTTTAACGAATCTAGCTGTAGGATTGAAATGATTTTAATAGACCTAGAAATATATTTTTTTTGCACATCGAATATGATTATTGCCTATCATTTATGTACAAAGCAATTATTGTCGCTTAGTCACGTTTACCTTTCAAGCGTCGATATATCAAAGTTTTTTACTGTGGATAAGACGTCTTGTGAGTCCGCACGGGTAGGTACTACCGCGCTGCCTATTTCTGCCGTGAAGCGGTAATGCGTTTCGGTTTGAAGCGTGGGGCAGCCGTTGTACTGTTACTGTACTGTAACTCATATCTCAAGGTGGGTGGCGGCATTTAAGTTGCAGATATCTATAGGCTCCGGTAGCCATTTAACAACAGGTGGGCCGTAAGCTCGTTCACAAACCAAAAAAAAAAAAATTCGACCCTTGTCGATTTTTATAAAGTTAACCTTTGATGACCACTCTACGAAATACACTCTGACTGACCCGCCATATTCATTACGTCGTAGTTGTTAGAATAATGTTAAAATCTAACCGTGAATATATAACAATAAAAATGTACGCTCGATCGTAATGTTTGTCATTTATTGCCAGAACCCAAACTAAATGGGAATCGTTTCCATTGTCACGAATTACATTTTACAGATAAGTGTCAGCTCACCTGTCCAGTGGCAGCTTGGAGTCGTCGGAACGCCTCCTCATCCCTCACGCCGGCAGCCTGCTCTAATTTGTGTAATCTATAGATTAAAAGTGAAATTGAAAAAGCTAACTCTTACTGGTGGTAGGACCTCTCGTGAGTCCGCACGAGTAGGTACCACCACCCTGCCTATTTCTGCCGTGAAGCAGTAACGTGTTTTGGTTTGAAGAACGGGGCAGCTGTTGTAATTATACTGAGACCTTTGAACTAATATCTCAAGGTGGGTGGCGCATTTACGTTGTGGATGTCTATGGGCTCCCGTAACCACTTAACACCAGGTGGGCTGTGAGCTCGTCCACCCATCTAATCAATAAAAAAAAAAGACCTTTGAAGTCATATCTCAAGGTGGGTGGCGGCATTTACGTTATAGATGTCTATGGGTCCGGTAACCACTAAACATCAGGTGGGCTGTGAGCTCGTTCAACCATCTAGGCAATAAAAAAAATGTAACTCACAAAATTATATTAAAATGTTATTTAGTAGTAATAAGTAGAGTAAGGCAATATAGCTTGCTCGGGCAAGCACCGCGGTCCTATCGGTCGGTTTGTGAGGTCGGACAGCCGGTTTACAATATGATTGAGACGTCGACCTCATGTCTCAAGGGTTCATGTCAAAAATTCTTATGAGTTCCGGATACAATGACGGGCCGGTGACAGTAAATACATCATGCCAACGAACCTTCCACAACACATTACCGGTAAGAAAAGTACTCCGGAGTGCGCAAATGTTCATCAAATCGTTATTTATTGAACTGTAGTAGAATTATTTTGTCCGTGCAGTTTGGGTCATAAAACATAGCCCGGCTAGGGCGGTGAGCATGTTGCGCGGGCGTAACGCCATTATCGATAAAAACAAATGAGTCATCGAAGGCAGGTACACGGCGGCGGGGTGGTAAGACATTGTTATGTTACGAGTCATTTGTACTTAGAGTTTATTCAAAATAATATTTGCACTTGCACTTGCGGGTTTGATTTTTATTACACGATGTTATTCCTTCACCGTGGAAGTCAATCGTGAACATTTGTTGAGTACGTATTTCATTAGAAAAATTGGTACCCGCCTGCGGGATTCGAACACCGGTGTATCGCTACATACGAATGCACCGGGCGTTTTATCCTTTAGGCCACGACGACTTCTTGTTGTTATCAACAATGTGTTAAAATTTTTCACTGAAATGAGAATAGATCCCGAAAAGTTACAGTGTTAATTTCTGCCGTTCTCGTTAATTTGCATGTGGTGTAAGTGTTCGATTAGTGATTTTTCTTTCATTTTTATCACTAACCCACAAAATGACAAAACTAAATACACTATCGATAGCGCTTATCGACAATAATGCGTATCACTATGCCCGTCCATAAGGCTCGTGAGTGGAAGAGAGAGCGAAATACTCGCTTCACCGCTCTCCGATTTTTTATGACCCAAACTGCACGGACAAAATAATTCTACTATAGGCTACTTTTTAATCTGCTAATATTATTTGTTGGTTATTCACAATAGAAACTACTTAATGTTTGGCTATTTCGTTACCTGTGCTCGAGTTGAGCAACCCTTGTGGTCTGCGCGAGGCTTATTTCAGGCTTCAACTTCAGCTGCGCCGTGATCAGCTCACCCTGCTTCTTCCTGCCGTTCGACGACAGGTACTCCCTGTAATTACAGTTCGATTCCTTTCCACTTTTGACAAAAATACAATATATACAGGGTGTCCCAGAAAGAATGGATAATCCTGAAACACCTCATAGCAGAGCTATTGGGGACTCAAAATGAAAAATAATAAAAATATATTTGTTAGGTACCTAATACCCAAATTAAAAATAAAGAAAAAATAACAAAATTTCATGATTAAAATTGAAGTTCAGATTAACTATTATAAAAAATTACATTAGCTACTCAACGATTTCTTGCATATTCCGTCTATGTAGAATATTATAACACCAAAAAGCCTATGGATTTCATTTATTTGTAGCTGTTGTATATTCCAGAAACGCACAGCAGTATAGACAATATCAAGTTTTTTTTAAATACGTAATTAGGGTACTACCTGAGAATTTTGTTTATTTTGTGTCCCCAATAGCTCTACTATGAGGTGTTTCAGGATTATCCATTCTTTCTGGGACACTCTGTATATATATTTTTTCATATTTATTTAATAAGCTTGCAACATTATTTACTGACTGACCCATGATGTTTTTTTTATTATATAATAAACTTTGAGAAATGAGATCTAAGTATTAACATTAAGACATAATGTAAGTACAGTAGGGATTTGTCTACAGTCTTTAATCCGCAATGTTTTTTTTTCACAATGAATGATTTATTGTTTTTGGAACAGCATAAAATCATATTCGAAACGTCTTTTTTCCCAACTTATGCTGGTAACTTTGAGAGGTTATGCCAGCTTAATCAAGCGAGTGGGTGAGCTTACCGTACTTTAACCTGACAAATTTGCTACCATTAGCCCTAGCAAGAGCGCTACGCAGAATCTACCACTGGTTGGGAAACGCGACTCACTGAGAAGATCTGGCGAGAAACACAGTGGGCTGTGTCTGAAGGTTAATTTGCTCGCCGAACCCCTTCGTCACAAGCGACAGGTTCGACGAGAACGGTGACCGGTGCTTGAGGTACATAAATGCACCAAGGAAACATCGATAACTGCATTATGAAACTAATCAATTCGAACTCGTACTATCTATATATTTAACAATATTAAAATTGATATTTGTGTGTTTTGTACATTGTTTATCTGTTTGACTAGAAACTTTGTAATTGTTAGCAACTTCGGTGGAGGTTTTTGACATTGTTACATTAATGTATAACGATTTTATTTAATATTTCATGCATTTAGCTGTGGTCGCAGCGGAGCATGGCTTGATTCACGGAGTCTATTGATAAGTAACAGACAGATAAACCCGATTTGCGATTCTATTGTAAAAATAATTCTATTTACTTTAGTTTCTCGGCCTTAGGGTCAATTTGTTCTCCTTCTTCAAGTTTCAATTCTTCCAGAAGTTTCTTCGTTGTGTTGATTTGTACGGCCAACTTGGAGAACTCTTCCTGCACAAAAATGAACCATTTTTGGGGTGTCATAAACGCAAGACCGCTTCATTGCTTCACGATAAACTGGCTATCTAGCAAGCGATTTAACTGCTGGCTGCAACTTTGTATATACTTTGTATTTATGTATATAATACTACAACAATGCATCTATGAATAAATTGTACATGTATTCAATTATATTTAAATATCTCAGACAAACTTATTTTAGGTTTATTAAAAATTACATACTAGTAATGTTCTATGACAAATTTACCAGTGAATTGCGAATAAATGCAATTCCTATAAGAAAAATTAAATACTTTGTGGACTAGACATGTCTGACAGAATTTTAATGCTACCTAGAGAGGTAGCATTCAAATTCTGTCTGGTAGAGACCGGAGATATGTCAGTCTGCATTTTAATATAAAAAAATTATCTAAAGTTATGTAATTGTATAATAAGTTATGTAATTCATCATTCATAAAACTATGTTATTTCAGTGAACAACTACATATTATTAAAATATTTTTTGCCAGAATGCTGTTTAAATTTAGACCATGTGAGATATTTTTATCACATAAAAGATTTTGCATATTGACGCTTGAAAGGCAAACGTGACTAAGCGACAATGCGTGAACTTTACAGTAGACTAATTTAAAGGTGAAATGCCTGAAAACAAAATTGATTTTAACGAATTTAGCTGTTGTAGAATCTAGTTAGTAGCTGTAGGATTGAAATGATTTTAATAGAGCTAGAAATATATATTTTTTGCGTCTCGAATATGGTTATTGCCTATCATTTGTGTAGAAAGCAGTTATTGTCGCTTAGTCACGTTTGCCTTTCAAGCGTCGATATAATTGTGTCAACAGGTATCCAGTTACATTTGTTGGTTGTCAATAGCATAAGTTATTTTTGTTAATGTTTAATAAGGATGGTAAACTCTAGACATTTTGTATGAAAAATTTGAATCAGTTGGATATTTTTTTAGGTTGTGTGTTTAATCAACAAACTCAATGATAAACAAAACTGCTTCTTGCAATGGCTGCAAAAAGGATTTAAGTTTTTTAAATTTAAATCTAATGCTTGTTCATATTGAAAACTCATGTATTTGAGTAATGTATGCTCCCTTTAAAGTTTCAATCGTCAATGACTGTTCTCATCTAGAATGACATGGTTGTCTGTGTACTTTGCAATATGTTTAAAATTATGTTTACACTTTATAGTAGAACATACTTACAACCCTACATACTGTTTTAACTTTTTGATGATATAATAAATTAAAATATTGAGACAATTATCCCAGTCAAGTAAGAACAGAACAAAATATGTATTCTTGAAGTGACTAAATATAGGATTGCATTTATTTTAGAATTTACAAATTGTTTTAAGCTTTTGCAGCTATCTTGTATAAATAGATTTAACAGGTTCTTACAATGATTTTTACATTCCACTGTTCCTGATATTTTAGTGCTTGCTTGCTACGACTTCATTAAGTAGTAGTTTGTTTAATGTTGCGATTGGACAGTCAAAACAAAATAACTATAAACTTTCTAGGTTGCTAGTATGATGATAATTTTACCTTTTCACTATCGCCAGCTTTGTTTTGTTGGTCAGTGACATCTTCGAGGAGTTCAGAAAACTCACATCTAAGTCTATTGTATCTTTGTAGTGGAGTCTCCGGGTCACCTTCAGCTGCTAGCTCCCATTCACCAACTCTAAATAATTAAAAATAAATCTGGTGTGTATAGATAAGCCTACTTTGATTAATAATAAAAAATTGAGTTCGATTTAATTGTAATGAAAACCCACCTGTAACCAATTCGAGATTTTCTGCTCAATTTATCTGAAAAATCTACAGGCCCAGTAAGGAACTTCCCTTTGAATTTATTGAAAGAATCCTTGACCGATAAGTGCAATTGTTCGATACACTCGTTCTCCTCCTCCTCATAAGGCTCCGGCTGATCGGCTTCCGGCAGATCATCAGTTTCATAAACATCGCGTTGGTCATAGGCCTACAAGAAAGCTCTTCTTATACATTTTATCTCCGACGTGTACAATATATTCCTATTGGGTATACTTACAATGCCGGGCAGATTTTCATATTTAGGATCAGCCATTTTATATATTGTAATGTTGAAAAAATATAGGCAGTTTGAGAATAAATAAATAAATGTTCCGTAATATGAATCAGAAATTTTGTTGGTCTGTGATGTCACGTCAATCGAATGAAAAAAATGTGTATAGCCTATGAATCGAACATAGAGCCTTGAAGCCATATAATATACACTTAATATATTCGAGACTTGAAGCCTTTCTTGTTTTGATCTGTAAAATAAAATAAAATAATTGTGATATTTTATGAGTTTGTTATAGGTGAAATTTAAATTAAGCCATACGTGCTAATATACTTATTTAATTTACTTAATTGGCAAATTATAGCTTCAGTTTTTTTTTTATTGCTTAGATGGGTGGACGAGCTCACAGCCCATCTGGTGTTAAGTGGTTACTGGAGCCCATAGACATCTACAACGTAAATGCGCCACCCACCTTGAGATATAAGTTCTAAGGTCTCAAGTATAGTTACAACGGCTGCTTCACGGCAGATATAGGCAGGGTGGTGGTACCTACTAGGCATGGTCGTTGCGCAACGTAAATGGTTATTGAAACTATCTATAGACAAAATAGCGGTTAGCTAGTTTCGCCGTACTGCAATAACCTGCTAACGTCTACTACCTCAATCACGTCACCGATCACGAACACAAATCACACAACGTTCGGCAATATTCGTTTTACTTCGTACCGCTCGGTCGGGTAGCTATCGCGACACGCAGCGCAAACATCGGTTCGATCGAAATAGACAATCATCATTTTGTCTCTTTCACGCACACGACTGAGATGCATTTGACCTTTGACTTTAGCCCTTAAAGCCCTTAAAATAAGATTTATAAAATTAAATTATGAGTGCAAGTTGAAGTCGAATTTTGTGGCCTTGAACCAGTTATTCACGAATCGCGTGTTTAGCGACAAAATGTATTAAAGACTCGGCGCTAAGTTTTAAGTTTAATTGCCAAATTGAATAGTTAAAAATACAAAATGTATAGTTGTTTAATATAGATTATCCTTAAAGATAAATTACAAATAAAGTCGTAATTACTGAAATATTAATCGCGACGCTAGCTCATTCGTGTGCACATTAGTTTACTGCTAAACAAAACCCGCTATTGCTCGCTAATGAAATAGCGCGTTTCAAAAGCCGCTATTGACATTCGATAGCTAGTTTCGTTTCGCTAACCGAAAANAGCTATCGCGACACGCAGCGCAAACATCGGTTCGATCGAAATAGACAATCATCATTTTGTCTCTTTCACGCACACGACTGAGATGCATTTGACCTTTGACTTTAGCCCTTAAAGCCCTTAAAATAAGATTTATAAAATTAAATTATGAGTGCAAGTTGAAGTCGAATTTTGTGGCCTTGAACCAGTTATTCACGAATCGCGTGTTTAGCGACAAAATGTATTAAAGACTCGGCGCTAAGTTTTAAGTTTAATTGCCAAATTGAATAGTTAAAAATACAAAGTGTATAGTTGTTTAATATAGATTATCCTTAAAGATAAATTACAAATAAAGTCGTAATTACTGAAATATTAATCGCGACGCTAGCTCATTCGTGTGCACATTAGTTTACTGCTAAACAAAACCCGCTATTGATCGCTAATGAAATAGCGCGTTTCAAAAGCCGCTATTGACATTCGATAGCTAGTTTCGTTTCGCTAACCGAAAATGCCGCTACAGCCCACCGCTAGTACCTACCCGCGCAGACTTACAAGAGGTCCTACCACCAGTAATTACGCAAATTATAATTTTTGCGGGTTTGATTTTTATTACACGATGTTATTCCTTCACCGTGGAAGTCAATCGTGAACATTTGTTAAGTACGTATTTCATTAGAAAAAATGGTACCCGCCTAGGCGCCTGTGGGATTCGAACACCGGTGCATCGCTTCAACACGAATGCACCGGACTTTTAAGGCACGACGACTTCAATGTTTCAAAATTAGTAGGCAGATAGGTAATAAGGTGCATACAACGAGTCTAGGATATTTATTCATTAAATTACAAAATAAATGGTAAACTATAGAATATTATTATTAAACAATTTTCACTACCTAGTTTCAATTATTAGCACACTTTTCTGGTTACACATATCAAATTTTTCTTATATTAGTTTACTCTTTAGTTTGCTTTGTCTATACAATTTAACACGTAAGCGTGCTTTGATATAAAAAGAACTGATGTACTATTTTGATTTTAACGGTTTGATATACAAACTGTATAACATGGGAGTGCCAGACAGACTCGTGCTCATCATACGAGACTACTTGTCGAACCGTTCGTTCCGATATCGAGTCGAGGGAACGCGTTCCCGGCCCCGTCACGTCACAGCCGGAGTCCCGCAAGGCTCCGCCCTCTCCCCGTTACTATTCAGTTTGTATATCAATGATATACCCCGGTCTCCGGAGACCCATCTGGCGCTCTTCGCCGATGACACCGCCATCTACTACTCGTGTAGGAAGAAGGCGTTGCTTCATCGACGACTTCAGACCGCAGCTACNTTTAGCGACAAAATGTATTAAAGACTCGGCGCTAAGTTTTAAGTTTAATTGCCAAATTGAATAGTTAAAAATATAAAGTGTATAGTTGTTTAATATAGATTATCCTTAAAGATAAATTACAAATAAAGTCGTAATTACTGAAATATTAATCGCGACGCTAGCTCATTCGTGTGCACATTAGTTTACTGCTAAACAAAACCCGCTATTGATCGCTAATGAAATAGCGCGTTTCAAAAGCCGCTATTGACATTCGATAGCTAGTTTCGTTTCGCTAACCGAAAATGCCGCTACAGCCCACCGCTAGTACCTACCCGCGCAGACTTACAAGAGGTCCTACCACCAGTAATTACGCAAATTATAATTTTTGCGGGTTTGATTTTTATTACACGATGTTATTCCTTCACCGTGGAAGTCAATCGTGAACATTTGTTAAGTACGTATTTCATTAGAAAAAATGGTACCCGCCTAGGCGCCTGTGGGATTCGAACACCGGTGCATCGCTTCAACACGAATGCACCGGACTTTTAAGGCACGACGACTTCAATGTTTCAAAATTAGTAGGCAGATAGGTAATAAGGTGCATACAACGAGTCTAGGATATTTATTCATTAAATTACAAAATAAATGGTAAACTATAGAATATTATTATTAAACAATTTTCACTACCTAGTTTCAATTATTAGCACACTTTTCTGGTTACACATATCAAATTTTTCTTATATTAGTTTACTCTTTAGTTTGCTTTATCTATACAATTTAACACGTAAGCGTGCTTTGATATAAAAAGAACTGATGTACTATTTTGATTTTAGTTTTTATCTGTGCTTAAAGTATAGTGAAGTAGTCTGTGAGATCCAAAGTCGACCGTCCGTCACATTCTGAGTCATACATAGATATTTTTTTTCAATTATTAAATCTATCGTCACTCTTGGCCTAAGAATTTCGTCATAGTTTGTTGTTCTTCCACTATCGTTTGCTGCATTGTATAGTTAATAACGGTGTTAAAGAAATAGTGAAATCATGAGTCTGCAATGGACAATTATCGCGACGTTTCTCTATACCGAGATCGCAGTCGTCCTCCTTTTAACTTTGCCGATAGCCAGTCCGAGCAGATGGCAGAAGTTCTTCAAATCGAAATTTCTAGCTTACATAAGCGGGCAGGCATCTATTTATTTTCTGATTCTCATTGGCGTGCTAGTATTATGTCTGCTAGATGCAATTCGTGAGATGCAAAAATATTCAAATATTGAACCGTCAGACCACCAGCATCTCGACGCCGAAATGCAAGGTAACATGAGATTGTTTCGTGCACAGAGAAACTTCTACATATCTGGCTTTGCACTTTTCCTCCTTGTCGTCATTCGTCGTTTGGTTCAAATGATTTCACAACTGGCTACATTGTTAGCTCAGTCTGAGGCAAACTTCCGCCAAGCTCAGAGTGCTACCACTACTGCTAGAACTTTGTTAGAGAAGCAAGGCACTGGCGAGGAACAAAGCAAGAAAGAAATAGAAGATCTGAGGACCCAAATTTTGAATTTGGAAAAGGAACTTTCAAAAGAGAAGAAAGACAAAGAAGCTGTAAAATCACAAGCTGAAGGTTTGAATAAAGAGTATGATAGACTCGCTGAAGAGCACAGCAAGCTACAGAAAAAGCTAACAGTTTCTGGTGAAGGTGATTCTAAGAAAGATGAGTAAATATTAGACATTACAGAATGTATGAGTCTGATTTTGATGAAACTAAATGTTGTCTATGCTGCTTCTAGTATTACTGTGTTGATCTATTCTAAAAGTATATTAATATTAGTTTGTCACTTGCTATTTAAATGTTTTCAGAAAGTTGCATTACACATCTGGACTTTGGAATCAGCTTAACCACAAACATTACTGATAATGAAATGAAAAATAAATTAACAAATTTTCATGTTCGTAGTTCATTAAAAAGAAAATCAAAATTTCAACATTGTTATATTGCTTAAATTTTATATTTAGAAATCCTTAAAATTTCAAAAGTAAATAGGTTAAGCCTTAAAATATATTATTGTTAGCTTTTTTAATTTTTTATTATAATTTTTATTTTAAGCTGTTGTTTCTTAACTTTTAGGGTTTTTGGTGTCAAACATGGATTTGTGTATGAAAAATGTGAATTGTAAGAGTGGATCTAATTTAATATTCCTTAAATTGTGTTTTGTCAATTAGGAATAATCAGATTTTTATAATNAGTAAATAGGTTAAGCCTTAAAATATATTATTGTTAGCTTTTTTAATTTTTTATTATAATTTTTATTTTAAGCTGTTGTTTCTTAACTTTTAGGGTTTTTGGTGTCAAACATGGATTTGTGTATGAAAAATGTGAATTGTAAGAGTGGATCTAATTTAATATTCCTTAAATTGTGTTTTGTCAATTAGGAATAATCAGAATTTTATAATTTACTAGTATTTTTATTGGAAATGAAAATGAATACATGTTTTTAATTGAAAGTGAACACCAATGTTTTGTAGAATAATAATGTTTAAAGATATTGCATTTGTGATTAATTCTCACTTTCAATTTAGATGAATTTGAAAACTGTAGCACAATTTTCATCCAAATCATTTTCAGATTCTTATTAACCACACAACTTCTCAATTGGAAGTTGAGTTCTGTTATTCAAGCCTGAGTTTTTTTTCTTTTCGGAACAGTAATTGTTTGTTCTTAATTGTAATGTAAAAAAGGCACGAATAACTTTGGAATAGGACTGCTTATTATAAAAGTCTTGAATTGTTTATATGCTGGTTTGATTAAATAAAATACTTTTTTGAAAAACTGCATTTATTATATTTCTTCAAAATGTTCGAAAAACTTCCATCTACCTCCCATATTAATTTGTTTACCTCAAAACTTTTATTACGATTTGTAGGCCGCAGTGATAGAGTGAAGTAGTAATTAATACATTTTGGTTTGGGAAAGCTTTTGTACTATAAATCTGGGACTTGTCTCAAGATAGGTGGTATTTACATTGTTGGGTGTCTATGGAGCAGTAGCCATTGAAAACCAGGTGAGCCGTGAGCTCCATATGCAGTAAAAAAGGCTAACCAAAGCAAAATGCATTTGGCAACTTTAAATTGTAGATTTATACTTGAACATTTTCTTCGGTTTTCGCTCCGGTGTCGGTTTGTAAAATAAAATGTCCGTAATATAAAATTGTAAGTGAATAATAATAATAATATATACATAATGAAACTGCAATATAATGACAATTAAAAACACGGTATTTAAGGGTTCGAGAAATTTTAATTACTTAGATACTTTAACTATACAAATAAATAAAATTGAAGCGTCTAATACAATATATTACAAATATTAAAATAACCGCTTTTAGCTACATGCATATTAATGAATGTAAATACGGTACATATACCAAAATATATTTTTTTACAAATTTTGTCTGTCTGTCTATCCGTCTGTTGCTCCGGCTAATCTCTGGAACAGCTGAACTGATTTTGATGAGATTTTCAGTGGCAGATGGCTGATTATAACTAAAATTATTAAAAAATATTTTTGTCTGTCTGTCTATCCGTCTGTTGTTTCGGCTAATCTCTGGAACAGCTGAACTGATTTTGATGAGATTTTCAGTGGCAGATGGCTGATATAATAAGGAGTAACTAAAATTATTAAAAAATATTTTTGTCTGTCTGTCTATCCGTCTGTTGCTCCGACTAATCTCTGGAACAGCTGAACTGATTTTGATGAGATTTTCAGTGGCAGATGGCTGATGTAATAAGGAGTAACTAAAATTATTAAAAAATAAAGTAATGTTTTGTTAAATTCCACGCGGACGAAGTCGTGGGCACAGCTAGTTAACACTATTTATGGACTTTGGTAAATGCTGAACAACAAAATATAGCCTCTCATTTATGGTCTTTCAATTCATGTCATCTTCGTTATTTTCATCTATGAATATACCAGTTAAATAACAACAATGTAATTTTGCATTTCGCGCGAAAATAGAGGTCGCTTGTATAAAGTGATGAATCGCTTCAGTCATAATACATAGCTGTCTGTTAAAATTAGATACCTACCTATGTTCATTGTTTGTCAATTAAATTAAAAGTTATGTTTATTATGACAACCTACTTTCGTGGTTCTTCGAAAATAGATTTTGATGTTTTTTTTTTCAAAAATGATTCTACCTACATAACGAAAAAGTAACAAAAAATAGTTGATTCTCATATTGTATCCGACATTGCGCGACGTATCCGAAAAAGCCACGTAGGTGCATTTGCAGGTGGAAGCGTTTCTTTGAATTCGTACGAAAATATCTCGTAACGAGTGACTCATCAGACAATAACTATTCACTGAATGACGTAGGTAGCTCGATATTGATTAGTAAGAGGTTAAAAATTATATGATGCAATATCAGCTTTGAGGTGTGATGTTGGAGTGCGTAGGAGTACTGGGGCAGAATTTAAATTAGACAAGGTTTTTTATACGCGTCAAAGGGTGTCTAATTCATGTCATTCACAATTTGATAATGGTGGTAGGACCTCTTGTGAGTCCGTCCACTTCGATAAAGCGGCACGACACGAGAACCCTCTCATCGTGGCCGCCGGCAACTACATTCCCGATCCTGCGGACAGAATGGAAAGCAGTCGACGTCGCCCAAAACACGTCATCTCGGATCCTCCCGATCCACTAACGGTGCTTTTAGGTACTTCAAGCACAGGTCACCGTTCTCGTCGAACTCGTCGCTTGCGACGAAGGGCTCGACGAGTAAACTAACTCTCAGACACAGCCCACTGAGTTTCTCGCCGGATCTTCTCATTGGGTCGCGTTTCCGATCCGGTGGTAGATTCTGCGAAGCACGGCTCTTGCTAGGGTTCGTGTTAGCAACGTCATCAGGTTTGAGCCCCGTGAGCTCACCTACAAACGTTAGGGTTACGCTGAAATAGCCCCTAAGGCTAACAGCTTAGGCAGGAAAAAAAAAAAGTGAGTCCGCACGAGTAGGTACCACCACCCAATCTATTTCTGCCGTGAAGCAGTAATGCGTTTTGGTTTGAAGGGTGGGGCATACTTGAGACCTTAGAACTTATATCTCAAGGTGGGTGGCGCATTTACGTCGTAGATGTCTATGGGCTCCAGTAACCACTTAACACCAGGTGGGCTGTGAGCTCGTCCACTCATCTAAGCAATAAAAATATAAAAAAATAAATTGATATCCACGGGCATTTGTAACACTGATTAGACCCGAAAAAAAAACCACCCTTATATGGCAAACCGAACTTTTCCTTCTTTTACCGCTATCTGACCACAAACTAGGATTCCTTGTACTATTGGAACAAGAGACTGATATATACATACATACTTAAATGCGTTTGAATATTGACATCTATAGATATTAAACACCCACACGAAGAGTAGACAAGAGTAAACAAACCTGTTCAACACGCGAATGTCAGCCCGATGTGGGAATCGAACCCACAAATCTTGGCCCAACAATGAGGGAGAATAATTACTGCACCATTAGGTCAGTCTAACGATTGATTTGAATTTGAAATGTGATCTTTTGTATTCTGTTGAGACTGGTCAAGATTTTAGAGCGAATAAATTGTTTTATTGTCATCATTATTCGATCCTTGTGCATATTTTGAAGTTAATCGGTGGCCTGAAGTTCAAAGTTTCCGTTATGTACAAACAAACAAATAAACAAACATATAAAGCTAATAAAAGCGCATTAAAAGTATTGGAAATATGAAAGTTGATTTTATTTGTGGCATTTTATAATTTATTTTTGTCTTATATTATAGCCATAAGTTTTTGTTCATATTAGCGCTCTTTTACACGCTCATTAATGACCTTGGCGACTTGGTAGTCATTTTTAAGAGCCGTCCGTGTCTCAATTATTTAAATTTGTTATAGCCTCTAACCTCACCTAACCGATCAGAGATATTTACATTTCAATTTATATAAGAATATTCTTGTCCTACTCCGATTTCAAAGTATTGATTAAAACATTTGAACCTTGAAAAGGAAGATGATGATACGAGAAAAACATTTTTTCATTCATTCAATAAAATCATTTATTATACCTTATTTAAGTACTGATAAAATAGATAATGTGAAAATTAATAATAATTACAAAATAAATTGGTTTTGGATGTGTTAGCATAGCAAGTATAAAAGGTTACATACCTACGCTAGATCTGTTTTTCTAACAAATAAAGTGTTTTATGTTGAAGACAGGTGGCATTTAGTCCATACAAATGTATTTAACTGCTTCCTATGTGGGTTATATAAAGAAATCGTCTTGATTTTGGAAGGGACGTGATTATACCACAGTTCAAATACCACATGCAGATACCGCAGTGTTTGCGAATGAGATTCATGAAGGGACATCATCGTATTTGTTTAATTATTGATTGTGAGGTATTGTAATCATGTATATAGGTAAGTTTCGCTGTCCTGCATATTTCTGCAATGCGAGTTATACGTTCCCCGTTGAAAGGGTGATACAGCCTTTTTACAGACAAATTGAAATGAGCTCTAAGGGCTTTTTGAAAAAAACCCGTTAAGCCGTATCCAGTGATTTTGTTTATGTTGCCAGTCTTATGCGCTGTCACAGTTGTTACTGAATAGAACTATTGTTGCATGCTTAAATCTAAAGAAAAACTTAAGTAAGTAAATAAAACAACTCACATAACTTAACATCTTGCTTCCCCGCCAAAAAGTACGGGCATAGAGAATGCTGTATTTCAATAGATTTTTGAGAAAAAAAAAGGAATATTAAGAACACAGTCTCCGTGGTCTTTTTAAACCTGAATTTTCAATCCAATCAGTTCGAGCAGACAGCAATATATCTTTTAAATAGGTAATGTTAGTGTTAGTGCCTATTGGTAAATTTCTACACAGAACTACTTTCTGCATTAACCTAAACTTAAAAGACAATAAAAATGGCTGCTCGTACTATAAGTGTTGAAAGTGAAATTAATTTGATTTGATTATCGTAATTATTCATTTTTTTAAATACATTTGAATGCGCATTAATTCTAATTTAAGGAATCAGTTATTTCATTATTGAAAACTTTAAAGTTCGTCTTTGACATGGGGACTGTATTTTTCGTTTTCAATAAAACCTAAGCTATCCCAGAACGATTTTTGACCGAAGTCTGAATTGGTCTTCATTTGCATGTCGGTTGGCGAAGATATCTCCAAATAACTGATCTCTGGAACACCAGGCTTGATTGGAGTCCATTCGAGTCCCGTATTAGTTACTTTTGGCGTTCTGAGGACAGAATTTTATGATAAATCAACATTATTATATTAATATGTTATATTTAAAAAAAAACAGCTAAGTAATGCCGACCTTTTTTTTTTATTGCTTTGATAGGTGGACGAGCTCACAGCCCACCTGGTGTTAAGTGGTTACTGGAGCCCATAGATATCTACAACGTAAATGCGCCACCCACCTCGAGATATAAGTTCTAAGGTCTCAGTATAGTTACAACGGCTATTCCACCCTTCGAACCGAAACGCCTTACTGCTTCACGGCGGAAACAGGCGGGGTGGTGGTACCTACTCATGCGGACTCACAAGAGGTCCTACCACCAGTGAAATAAATTGAAATAAACAAATTTAAAAGCAACAGTCCATAAGTTGTTACTGTTTTTATGAATTCCGTCAAAACTAAGACCGCTGTGAACGATAGCGGAGTCTTCAAACTTCCTTTTGAACGGATACTTGATTGATTTGCAGAAACACCCAAGACATAGACAAGCTTAAACATGATATTTCAATTTTATCAACTGATTACTCGATAATTCAATCAGTCGTA